GGCGATATGACTGTTCCTCAGTAGGAATGCCAGGGCCGACTGGGCCTCAGTAGGAATGCCAGGGCCGACTGGGCCTCAGTAGGAATGCCAGGGACCCACTTCACACGCGGAAGGAGGATCCGACTGGGCCTCAGTAGGAATGCCAGGGACCCACTTCACACGCGGAAGGAGGATCCGACTGGGCCTCAGTAGGACTCGCTCAAGCAGGGGCCCGATATGCACGCATATCTGCTTCGAGCGCTTGAACTGAAAGTCCCTGCTACTACTGATGAATTCAAAATATTTGGGACACAGGATCCGACATCTGTAGTAGTTCTCTCCACGCCACACTCACAATATCAGCGCAGCTCTTGCGACCAGACGTCCGCTGAGTGGGGAAATCTTCTGGCCGACTTCGGTGCTATTTATCTACTCTATCAGTTCAGTCTATCAGTTTTTTTCAATAGGTCTCAATAAGGAGCACAGAAGGGCCGTGATGGTCAAATGTTAAATTGAATCACTTTCCAAATCTAACACACCTTTCAAAAAAAGGTGTGCAGACTTGGAAAGTAATTTAATTTCAAAAAAAAGGGAACTACGAAATGCGCCAAGGATCCGAACCTTCCTTCCAATTCTATAGGCCCAATTACCTACCTGCTGCGCCATCGAATCACATCTGCAGTCGTGTCACGAGGTGTTTACAAGCGCGAAGTATGGGCAAGGGGCGCACCGCACTGGTTGAGCACAGTAGCGGAAAGGTCCGTAACTTCCTCTCGAATCGTTCAGCAGCTTTGGAAGTCTGATCTGATATCAGCGTCATATGTAAGACGCTTCTAAGGGTATACATTTCATCTTGAATGGCTATGACGATAGCCTTTCCCTGCTAGTCGTACAGCGTGTTTTGTGAAATACCGTAATTCAGCAGTCAAATCTAGGCCTTTAATGTGATGTTCAAAAGCATCACATCAAAAGCTTAGATTTGTTACGCTTGTGATGTTGAATGTGATGCTTCTACAAACCTTACGGTCGTTCAAGTGTCCCATAATTCTGCATATTTCTAAGATTGCTTTCCTTTCAACACTCTGCTTTTCGATGAGCTATGGAACACTTTTCGCTAAGTTCTAGTGTTTAGCAAGAGATGTGACTGATCGGGTTAGCGATAGATTATTTATGATTCTCAAATGTATAATACTAAGCCCAACAAATTGAAGTATTTTTTGTAATATTTTTTTGGACTTCAATTTGTCTCAAGAAGAATTGCTGTTTCTTTTTTTGCTTCACAGGGAGAAACCGTTCTCTTGGCTATGAGCTTGCAGACGCATACATACGTACTCTCACTATTCGTATTTCTGACGTCTGTCAAGTCAAATGACATAAGGCAACATTCACACTGTAACCCTACTGTCGAATTTTTTACCAAATTCTTCAGCATGCCACTATAGTTCCATTGAGAGTGTCCTTTTATCGCCTTTCCTGCTCCTCCTTTGGAGAATCATTCCAAAGGCTGCTGGAAGACCCACTCCCACCCCCACGGCGCTTTCGGCTTGGGGAGAAGAAAGGTGGGGGGGGGGTACTATCGTTAGCTCGTTCTGCTAGCCGGGCGTCTGGTGGCTTACGAACTCTTGTGAAGCGACGAATGAGCATAAAAAACCTTTCCGGCTATAGAAATCCGGTTCCGCTCAGTACCATTTGGTGCCCACACCAAGCCTTTTAACCACTTGTTCTTATCATCAGGGGCTTGGAATGACGTCCACCATTGGGGAACTCCTTTTTTATTCCGTGATAATTCATTTGTTTGGGCTCCAAAGCGCGAAAGACGGTGTCCTGTCTGGTACGAGAGCTACCAGACAGGACACCGTCTTTCGCG